CGTCAAGCTCGAGCATGGCGCCCACGGCGTTCGCCATGTTGAACACCACACCGGCGTCGCCGGCGCCGCCAAGGGCCGCGCCATCCGAGAGGATCGAGAGCGTGAACGCATAGACCACCGACTTGAAGTGGTTGTCGGCCCCTGCGGCAGCCGGCCTCTGCAGAGGCGGCTGCTCGCTCCGCGCGTCCGCCTATGCGTGAACAAGCGGGCGGGCCGTCAAGCAGGACGCGGGCTGGGCGGGGAGAGAAAAGAAGGACGCCGTCACATCGTCGTCGTCATCGTCACCCGCAGTTCGAAGCGCCTCGCGCTCCTTCGCCTTCGCCACTCCCGCCGCCGCGGCCGCCGACACCGTGGATGCCGACACCGCGGCCGCGCGCTCCTCGGCGGCAGCGCACTTCGCCTCTGCGGCAGCCACTGCCTGCGACGCCTCTGCCGCCCTCTGCCGTTCTCTGGCCTCGTGCGCCGCCCGCGATGCCTCCGCCAGCGTGACGCGCCTCTCCGCGTCCGCCAGACCCGTGCGCAGCACCTCCGCCTCCAGCTGAAGCTGCCTCTGCGAGGGCGGAATGGCGACGAGCGGCGTGAGGACTCGGAGAGGAGAGAGGAGGGCCAGCGAGGAGAGGCGGGGGGGTCCGGCGGGTGGGGTTGGGCGTGCCTTCGCTTCGGACGCCGAGCGTGCCTCTTCCTCGGCCGCCACCTTGTCATCCAGCGCCTCTTGCAGGAGGCTGCTGGCCCCCTCCAGCTTCTCAGCGCCCCCCTCAAGCAGCAAGCCATCCTGAGCCACTGCAGCCACGGCTTCCTCTTGGGCCAGGTGTAATTTCGCCTCCGTGGCCGCCGCCGCCGCCTCCGCCGCCGCAACCTCCGCCTCCGTGTCCGCAAGTTCAGACCGCAAGCACGCCTTCTCCGCCGCGGCCGCCTCTTCCACCGCCGCTGCTGCCGCCTCTGCCGCCGCCTCTGCCGTTGCCAACCGCGCCGCCTCCGCCGCTGCCACGTCGCGCTCCTCCTCGAGGAGCTGAATCTGAGCCTGCGCCGCGGCCGTCGCCTCGTCCGCCTCTGCGACCGCCGCCGCCACCGCCGCCGTGACTGCTGCAGCCGCATCTGTCTCCACGCCCTCCAGCTCGGAGCGCATGCACTCCGCTGCAGCCGCCGCCTCCGCGGCTGCCGCCTCCGCCGTCGCACGTGCCGCTTCCGTCGCCGCTTGCAACGCCACGGCCTCTGCTGCTGCCGCCGCCGCTGCCGCCGCCGCTGCCGCATCGGAGATTGCGGCCGCCGCCTCCCGCTCCCTGGCCGCCGCCGCCAACGCCTTTGCAATCGCTTCTACTCGTTCCGCAGCCGCCTCCCTCCTCGCCTCCTCGCTCGCCCTGGCGACCGCCGCGGCCGTCGCCTCCTCGGCCTCTGCGACCGCCGCCGCCACCGCCGCCGCCACCGCCTCCCCCGTCTCCTCCTCCACCTCCGCCCGCGCACGCTCGGCGGCCGCCGCGACCAGCTCCTCCATCCCGCCCCTCGCCTCCTCCACAATCTCCTCGCGCAACGACTCGGCGGCCAGCTCGCGCTCGCGCTCCGCCCACCGCCGCGCGTCGTCCGCCCACGCCCACGCCTCCTGCGCCTGCGCCTCGGCGTTGGCCTGCGCCTCGGCGGCCGCCGCCTTCAACACCGCCTCCGCCTCCGCCGCCGCCGCCTCCGCCGCCTCCAGCTCGGCCTGCAGCGCCCGCTGGCTTGCCGCCGCCTCCTCCGCCGCCCGCCGCGACGCCTCCTCCAGCTCGGACGCCAGCGCCACCGCCTCGGCCTGCGCCGCGGCGGCTCGCTCCTCCGCGGCGTCGGCGCGGGCGCGCTCAGCGACCACGTCCTGCGAGAGCGATGTTGCCGCCGCCACCTCGGCCGCAGTCACTTCGGCGGCCGCCGCCATGAGCTCACTCGACAGTCGGCCCACCTCCGCCGTAGCAGCTGCAGCGGCGGCGCTCGCTGCAACAAGAGAAAGCTGCGCCGCCTCGTTGGCCGCCTGGGCCTCACTCGCCGTCACCCTACTTGCTTCAAGCTCCGACGCCATCCCCGCTGCCGCTGCCGCCGCCTCTGCCACAGCTGCCGCCGCCGCCGCATCGCTCGCCGCGGCGGCCTCACTCGCCGCGTGCCGTGTCTCCGCCAACTGCTTCTCCGCCTCCGCCTCCGCCGCCTCCAGCTCGGCCTGCAGCGCCCGCTGGCTTGCCGCCGCCTCCTCCTCCGCCCGCCGCGACGCCTCCTCCAGCTCGGACGCCAGCGCCTCCGCCTCGGCCTGCGCCGCGGCGGCTCGCTCCTCCGCGGCGTCGGCGCGGGCGCGCTCAGCGACCACGTCCTGCGAGAGCGCCGCCCGTGCCGCCGCCGCCTATTCAACAGACCGCCGAGCTGCGCCGCGCTGTGCCGGGCAGTCGTCCTTGTCGACACGTCTCGCGTGTCACCGCCGCTGCAACCGCAGCCGACGCCCCGGCCTCCGCTGCCCCTGCTTCGACCTCCGCGAGCTCGAGCTCCGAACGCAGCGCCTCCGCCTCGACGTCAGCAGCCGCCACCGCTGACGCCGCTGCCTCCGTGTCCGCCTCTGCGTTCTCGAGCTCATACCGCAGACACGCCCTCTCCGCCGCCCTCTCCGCCGCCTCCTCCGCCGCCGCCGCTGCTGCCACCGCTGCCGCCGCCCCTACAGCTGCCTCTGCCGCTGCCTCTGCTTCTGCCACACACCGCGCCGCCTCCGCCGCTGCCACGTCGCGCTCCTCCTCGAGGAGCCGAATCTGAGCCGCCTGCGCCTCGCATGCCTGGACCAGCGCCTCGTTGTCTGCCGCTGCCGTCGCTCGGACCTCCTCAACGGAGAGCGTGTCAAACCTGGAGCGCGCAGCCTCTTCCACAGGGTCCTTGGCTCCGGCAGCCAGCCGCAGGAGCTCGGCGCACCCCGCGGCCTTGGACTGCGACGCGTGCACCACCTCGAGCGCCACTGCCGCTGCCGCCGCCTCCCGCTCCCTGGCCGCCGCCGCCAGCGCCTCCCTCCTCGCCTCCTCGCTCGCCCTGGCGACCGCCGCGGCCGTCGCCTCGTCCGCGTCTGCGACCGCCGCCGCCACCGCCGCCGTGACTGCTGCAGCCGCATCTGTCTCCACGCCCTCCAGCTCGGAGCGCATGCACTCCGCTGCAGCCGCCGCCTCCGCGGCTGCCGCCTCCGCCGTCGCACGTGCCGCTTCCGTCGCCGCTTGCAACGCCACGGCCTCTGCTGCTGCCGCCGCCGCTGCCGCCTCTGCTGCCGCATCGGAGATTGCGGCCGCCGTCTCCCGCTCCCTGGCCGCCGCCGCCAACGCCTTTCCAATCGCTTCTACTCGTTCCGCAGCCGCCTCCCTCCTCGCCTCCTCGCTCGCCCTGGCGACCGCCGCGGCCGTCGCCTCCTCGGCCTCTGCGACCGCCGCCGCCACCGCCGCCGCCACCGCCTCCCCCGTCTCCTTCTCCACCTCCGCCCGCGCACGCTCGGCGGCCGCCGCGACCAAGGCCTTCCCGCCCCTCACCTCCTGCGCCTGCGCCTCGGCGTTGGCCTGCGCCTCGGCCGACGCCCGAGCCGCTGCTACAGCCGCCCGCCGAAAGCGCAGGCAGCATGCCGCAGCGAGAAGAGCCGTGATGGCGAGGGAGCAGGCCACCAGCGTCCCAGGTCGGACTCCGAGGCGGGCGGCGGCGGAGACGATGGCTTCCCCGAGCGCGTCGCGGTCTCGCAGGTGCTGCTGGAGCTCCGCCTCGGTGCAGGCGAGGGAGGTGGCCAGGACAGCCTCGTTCGCCGAGCTGACGCCCGCCGACGCTTTCCGACGGGACTCAAACGCGTCGATCGCAGCCGTGAGCTCCGCCGCGCAGTCCTCAGCCTGCTGCCGCACGGCATCGAACTTGGACTCTTCCGCCCCACAGTCACAGCCGGGCACATCGCAGGGCACCGCCACCGGCGTCGGGCAGGGCTGCGGGCGGCAGACGGATTGATTGAGGTGTGCCGGCCTCCAGCAGCTTTTGCCGTTGCAGTGCCACGCGGTGAGCGGCGACACGCCGGCCGAGAGACCGGCCGCGAGCTGAAGCAGAAGCGCGAATGTCATCCCTGCTCGGATCACCTCGACGGTCAACCGCGGCGCCTGATCACATCGTTGATTTTTTTGCCGCTCCAATTTTTTTCAGGATCCTTCCGGATTCACGCATGTTCGCGCAGGTGTTCGCGCAGACTCTCGCGCTCGCCGCTGCCGGCTACCTGCCTCCCGACGCTCGGATCGCTGCCAGCCGCCCATGCTCGGCTCTCCCTCGGGCGGGCGCCATATTCGCGAGCGAGACGCGCGAGGCGGGCGGGCAAGGGCCGGGCGCCTTTCTGCAGCGCGGGCTGCCAAAGAATCAGCAGCCGGTGCGGGAGGTACAGAATTTGAGGAGGGAGTTTCTTTTCGACTGGCCAATGGACGACGGCTACACCGACAAGCTCAAGGGCTTGTACGGCGCGACAATGCTGGTCGTGTCGCTTCCGATTGCGTTCGACACGTACCGGGTTTTGCCGGCGCAGCTGCCCGAGCTGCTTGCGGCAGCGCACACGGGCACCGCCGCCTTCATGGTGGTTGCGGTGCTGCGACTGCGCCTCGGGTGGGGCTTTGTGCAGAAACGGCTCAAGGAGCGCGTCTCATACTATGAGCAGAACCAGCGTGGCTTCCTCGCAAAGAAGGATGACGAGGCGGTGCTGCGCGACCGGCTCATCGAGAAGTCCGAGGTGGCGCCCGCCCTCCGCCGGATCGACCGCTCCCTGCTCCCGCTCCTCGCCTCGCTCCTCGTCAGCACCGCCGCCCTCGAGATCTCCGACGTGCCAGTGCTCCGCACCCTCTCGGGCGACAGCGCCACCCGGTGCGCAGCAGTCGGCTCGGCGGGCCATCCTGGAGCACCCTTCCCGCTCTGCCCGCTCTGTTCGCGTCGAGCCTGCCCCACCGCCGCCGCCCCGCTCCCGCGCAGGTACACCAGCCAGCTGCGTGGAGACGACGAGTTTGCCGCCGCAGAGCAGGCAAAGGCGAGGCAGCGGATGGGGGGCGGGGCGGGCGAGCAGGAGAACGTCAAGCCGCTCTACTGCGACAGCCGCTACTACAAGATCCTCGCCGGCGGCAACAGCCAGGGAGGGGTGGGGTGCAACTAGATTGCAGCCCGCGGTGTCTTCGATCGTGTGCAGCTTTTTGGCGCCGACACTTTCGCGCAACTCTCACACGCCTCGACCTCTTTATGGCGGATCGCACCTTCCTGCACATATTGGTATGAGGTGTGTTCCCGAGTCTTCGAAGTGACCGCGCCCCTGGATAAAGATAAACATTTTGGCAGGCCTCCACGAGGGGTGTGCGGCGAAGCCCTAAAATACATCGCGCCCCGGGGGCGCGCGGGGGTCGCCCGGCCCCGCGTTTCTCGAGAGCCCCAGACTCTATTTGTTCATGTACTGGTGGTAGAGGTAGCCTGGTCGGTCCTGCGTTGACCAACTTTCCCCTCCTCTCCCCTTCCAGCTCCTCTCTGGCTCGGCAAACCGCGCGGCGAGGATCTCCTTGGCGTCCGTCCGGCAAGCTGCCGGTGCCGACGCTCCGACGCCAAGGAGGCCGCCGCTGCCTTCGGGAAGCGGCGGCGGCCGGTGAAAGCCCCAGGTGCCTGCGGCGGGAGCGCCGAGGTGCGCCTGAGCTGTGCGCCCGAGCTCTCTCGCGCGGCGGCGGCAGGCGGGCGCGGGGCGGCGCGCACAGTTGATCGGGTGACGCGCGTCGCCGGGCCACCGCCGGTTGTCCGCGTCGTCGCAGTAGCGGATCTGCTCGCCGATGCCGAGGACGCGCTGCACCACCTTGTTGAATGCCGCGTTCGCCTTCGCCGAGCCGAGCGACTCGCACAGCAGCTCGAGCGAGCGAGCGCCAACCTTGACCACGTACGCGCCACCCCACCCCTTCTGCTGGAGCGCCGATGCCGCCTTTGCGTAGTCGTCGCCGGGAGAGAGCTCGAGGGTGCGCGCCGCCACGGCTGGCTCCCGCCCCAAGTGGTCTCGCGCCTCGGCCGGCGCGCCGCGCACCACGAGCCTCACCGAGTCGTTCCGGTCGCGGTCTAGCACGCGGTGGCTGTCGAGGAAGGAGTGCTCCCGGATCGGCGCGTCCGAGTGCGCCCACTTCTCGTTGTCGAAGAGGTGGTCAAAGGGGCAGTGGAAGGGGAGGGGCTGGGCGTCGGCCCGCACGCCCGGGAAGCGGCCGCGCACGAGCGCGTTCCAGTAGCGGTCCGACCAGCACTGCAGCGGCGGCAGGATGAGCTTCCGCTTCATCGCGCGCGCGAGGGCGAGCGCGTCGTGGATGAGCCGCCTCTGGAACGAGTCGAGGAGCAAATGGCGGGCCGGGCCGTCGCGCATCGTGTGCACGTCCGACTTGCGCGCGAGAGTCTCGTCGATGAAGCTCCTCGACCCCTCCACCTTGATGGCGGCCGACGCCTCGGAGCGCATGTACGGCCGCGGCCAGGAAGACATGTCGAGCAGCGCGCCTGCGCAACAAGTCCTCGGCGAGTCAGCGAGTGGCATCTCGCAGGTGGGCGGGTCGGGCAGCGCGCCGTCGAGGTGGAGGAAGCCGGAGTACTCGAGCTCGGTCGGCTCGGGCTGCGGCTCCGAGGCCGGCCCCACCCGCTCGTAGTACGAGTCCGGGTCGACGAGCCACAGAAGCCGCTCGCGCAGCCGCGAGCGCTTGCCCCACGCGAACTCGGCCGTGTCGCAGAACTGGAAGGTCGTGTGCACGGCCACCGGCGAGAAGCCGCGGCGGAGCTGCAGCGACTGCGAGAAGAAGGTGTGGCCCGACGCAAAGAGCTCGTACGGAAACGTGCCGATGGCGAAGCTGTGGTGCTGGCCGTCGCACCCGATCCGCGAGCGGAACTGCAGCCCGCGCACGTCTTCGAGCTCGCCCGCCTTGGCCGGCCCGGCGGCGATCATGTCGCCCAGCCGCTTCAGCGCCGCATCGAGCGCCGCCGTCCTCGCCGGCCGCCGGTCGATGGACCTGAGGTGCTCGGCGGCGCGCTCGCGGCGGGCGGCGTCGGTCGCCTTGGGGTTGGCGAAGCCGTCGAGCGTGGCGCGCATGTGCACCTCGGCGGAGGAGGGGGCCGGTGACATTAAGGATAGCTACTGGTTTGGCGGACGAGTGCACTGCGCGTGCACCTCGTTGAAGAAGGTCTGGTCGTTGGACCACCACTGCAGCATGTTCTTTGGCAGCTTTTCGATAGAGACCATCTCTTGCTTCATCCGGTCGACCCACGCCTCGCACACGACGGCGGCGCCCGGGCTCGAGCGGAGCAGTAGCATGCCCGTGTTGAGCTCCTGCGCCAGCCCCCACGAGGCGCGGTCGTTCTCTGCGGCGTCCGAAGTGACGTCGGTCGAGACGACGATGTCGGCGAACGAGATGAGGGCGGAGGTGGCGACCTGAAGCGAGGGGCCGGGCCGCGGCTCGGACGGAGAGCGAGAGGGGGCGCGCGGGGAAGGTTGCGAGAGAGACGGCTGCACGCGGGCCACTCGATGCCGCTCCGAGGGCATGTCGGGCGAGGAGTGGCGTGTCGAGGAGTGCGCCGCCTGTCCAGTCACCCACGGGCGCGGGTCTCTCAGCCAGAGCACGTCGAGGTCGGCGCAGAGGATGTCGAAGCCGGCGCGGAGGAAGGCGAGGAAGAAGCGCACCTGCGAGGCAGGTGGCGCCCGGGGCTCTCCGGGCTGCCGCGCCGGCCGAGGGATGGCTCTCCGGGGCCGCTGCAGGTGGGAGGAGTTGTGCTGCTGCTCCTTGAGGATGCCCATCGTCATGAAGGGTTAGGGTTAGGGTTAGGGTTTAGGGTTATTAGTAGCGCCTTGAGGATGCCCATCGTCATGAAGGCGCGCGGGTCCATCCGAAAGTACTTCCACCGCGTGGTGACGACGCCGGGGCCAGCGCTCGCCTCCTCGCCGCTGCCGCCGCGGAAGATGGCGGCCGGCATGCCGTGGTTGCCGGCGAGCGTGAAGAGGCTCTCGTCCATGCAAGTGACGACGTACGGCAGCGCGAGCCTCTGCACGTGCAGCGCCCAGTTGCGAAGCATGTCGTTGACCGACGCGCCTCCGAAGACGAGCAGCAGCGGCTGGCCGGGCGGCATGCCTTCGTAGCTCCCTCCCGCCGCGAAGGCCTTTCTCGCCACCGAGTTGAACCGCAGCGGAGACCCCTCCATCCAGCCCGGAGCAGGCCCGAGGCCCCAGCCGTTCGGAGGAGCCTGCAGCGGAGTGGGAGCCTCCACGAGGGCGGGCTTCCGCAGGCCGGGACCCGCGCACGCGCGCCGCAGACAGGCCGCCTTGGAGCCCTTCGCGCCGAGCGCGTACCCGGGGCCGCCTCCGTGCGCCTTTGGGAAGGTTGCCAGGCTGTCGCCCTCCACCTCGGCGGAGCGCTGGTCGCAGCCCGGGGTGGGGATGTCGACGTGGTAGCGCGTGCGGCGGGGACCCTCGAGCGCCCACACACCACCCCACTTCGCAATCAGGCAGGCGTCGGCGCTCAAACCGTCGCCGCCGGCCTTGCTGCCGCCTTTGGTGTCGCCTCCAGCCCGGGGTGACAGCGCTGCTGGCGGCGGCGGCGCGCTCGTCACCGGAACGCGAGGCTTCGGTGCCACGACTGGCTGCCGTGCGGCTGCTGGCTGCTGCGTCTCCGGCACAAGCCGGCGGCTGGGCTGCTCGTGCTCCACCACCAGCTGCACGGCAGCACGCCGAGTTGCAGGACCATTGAAGTGCGTGAGGCGCACGCCACAGCCGATCAGAGCTAGAGCACCCAGCGCTGCCACTGCCGCGCCGTGGACCGGCTTCATAGACTGGTGGCGACTGGTCGCGGTGCTGTGGGGTGAATACGTGGGCGCGCGTTCACTGAACGCGTGTTCAGGTGTGCAAAGGGATTTCCGCGCAAAGAATAAAAAAATGCCGGAAGACTCAGGTCAACGACGCGTGGCCAAAGAGGCGGACCGGCAGATGCGATCTGGTGTGCGACTTTGCGAGCGCGCGGACGGCGGCGATGGCCGATGCGCCGAGCAGCAGGCAGAGCAGCACGCACTCCACGCCTCCGATCACGATGCCGACGATGAGCGCGGCGCCGGCGGGCGGGTAGCGGCGCGCCAGCTCGGCGAGCAGGCCGGGCGCCAGCATCGCCGCCGCACGGTACGGCCCGAAGGAGGCGCACGCGTCGAGGGAGAGGCGCGAGGCGCCGAGCGGCGGCGGCGAAGGGGAGGCGTCCTCCTCGCCGGCGGCGGCGGCGAGCGAACCGTCGGCGGCGCGGACGAAGCGCGAGACGAAGTCGTACGCGATCGAGGCGAGCTCGATCCCGGCGGGCGCGTTGAGGGGCGTAGCGAGGGCGAACGAGTGGGTCCAGCTTCCCTCGCATGTGAGGACCTCGGCCCGCCCCTCTCGCATCTCGCACCCGAAGCCGCGGTACCCGTCCAGCGCAGAGGCCACGCCCGAGCCCGCCGGCCGCAAGTCTGCCGCCCCTCCGCCTTGCTCCGCGGCGGAGTCAAAGGCGGAGGCCCAAGCGGCGGTCACTTCGACGGAGCGGGTGTAGAGCCAGCCGCCCTCGCCGACCGTGCCGTTGAGGGGGCCGAGCT